AAAACAGTCCGATTTTCCACCTTGAGTTTTGCTCAAGTTTGGCCAGTCGCCCCTGCAAGCCAAATGCACGGTACCTACAGACCCCAATTTCCCCAGCTCCGGAGTGGTTTGGAGTGGCGGGCTTATTTTGGTAGGTTTGATTGTAAGAAACTTCCCGGAAATTTGCAATCCACCCACAAAAGCCAGAGGATCACCTCAGGAACTTTATTTCCCGACAAAAATACGAAGGAAACCCAAACCACGCTTGGCCCGTCAAGGATCTCTACTTTGACAACCACCCCGTGAATCCTTTGAGTGGAATTTACTCCACATACAAACTGGGGGACAACTGAAGATGCCAACCGTCATTCACCACGTAAAGCCTGGAGCTGGAACAGTTTGGGCTGCCGTGCCCACCAGTGCCAGGAACCACCACAGGGGGATGTCGCAGCTCTGCTGCAGCCTAAGCATCTCTTTCGGCTCCCCATTTGTTGGACGGTTGAAGCAACAGTCATGTGAGTTCCAATCCACCACTGAAGGCAACCAGAACGCCCTACCTGATGGAACCTTGTACAAGAGTAACTGGAAAGCACTGGGCGGCATTTGTAAAAACCATGCCACGCATGCGGACATGACTAAACTCAAAAAATCCCCACATGCTGCCTTCATATCCACAGCGCTTGAGGCGGACCATTTCTCACGTATGGTACCCGCACGCCTGCAGCGATTGGGTCCTTCGCCTGAACTCACTCTTCCAGTCAGTGTCCTCGACCTCCTGGGTCGTCGCCTTCACGATCTTCCTATTGATCTTGCTTCCGGAGACCCTCGTGCGTACTCGCTCTCACCGCTGCCGCTGGAGAGTGGCATGCTCCTCTGATCCTGCAGATCTTTCTCAAGGTACTCAAACTCCGACCTTGAATGGGCCCTGCACCTTGCATCTCCAGTCTCTCTCCTCCAGGAACTTTGCGTGGATGCCGCTGCGTCACACCGGCGGCTCAGGCAGGAACCGTATTTCTCCGACTGTGGCACCATCAGCAAGGCGTCCCCAACATTGACGTAGTCCGGGCCATCCTGCAAGGTCGCTGGACTATGCCAAGGTCAGCGATGAGCGCCTTCTCGAAGTCTCGCATGATCTTCTTGGGCTCTCCTGGATGCGGCGGTGCATCTTGGTCAGAGCCTATTTTACACCGGCATCCGCGTGAACTTGCCCGTGGACTGGTCCGCCAGCAGCCTCACCAGCAGCAAGGGAGCCAGCTTGTTGGCGACGCCTTGCCCTTCAAACTGCTTCAGGAGAACCTTCTGCAACAGAGTGCTCGGCGAAGTTGTTCTTCTTCTGCTTGACTTCCGCAACTGCCCGAGACCCTCCACAAAAAATAAACCGCCCGCGGGAGCCCAAGCTGCTGTTCGCTCCTTCCGTCTTCTTCCTCCTCCGACTCCTCTTCCCAGATCTGCGTCAAGGCATTGAGCTGACTAAGTCGCTGGACTCTGCGTTGTCCGCTCTGCATGGGCGAAACGCTGTTAAGCCTGGCGGGGTCCCGGCTGAACCATGCACTGCGGCTGCTTCTCAGGCTGGGCAGCTTGGCAGCCCACCCTGCGGGCCACGCAGTTGGTGCAGACAACACCACCGTCCACGCCTTCGAGCACAGAAGGCTCGACCGCAACCACCACCTCCTGCCCAGCCGCCTCGATCCAGCCCAGTGTGGGTAATCTCTTGCCCGGATCCACGTAGGGCAAAGAACACCTGCGCACCTTCCATTGCCATGATAACTCACTACTGCGAGCGTTGGCATTGGCGGCCAAATTGCACGATGCAGAAATCTGAACTCTCATGAACAAAGCAGTGATGTGTGCATTTCTTCTTGGCTTTGCATGTACTTCGGTTGGCCCGATTCGGACCAACCGTCAACACAATGTGAAAGCAAAAACAGCAAAAGATCAGGGTGTGTTAGCATTTGTCAAGGAGACAAAGGGAAGGTGGATCATGGGGGCTGTGACCATATTATATATAATATATATAATATATATATATATATATATAATATATATATATATATATTGATACAAACCGGACACACCGACGCACCCCGATTCTCAAATGCCACAGCCCGAACCGGTTCGCTACACCTCCGATCTCCGATCCCCGATCCCTGATCTCCGAGCCGCCCGGCAGGCTTGCAAAAATGACCTGGATCCAACCGGAGGGCCCCTTTTGATTGGTTTCAGCCAGCATGGGTTATATCCTAATCATTGCATAAGTCAGGCTGACTCAGTTGCAAGTGGGTCGAGCCTGGGCTGCTAACCACTTACTATCCCAGTGCTTCCAGGCAAGCCACTACAGTAGCTACAGTTCTTCCTGTTGCTGCCACCTGCGGATTCCTTGAATAGTGCTAAAGAGCGGCAAACACAAATGCGCAACAACTCGGTGCTCACAGTTGTGACATCGATGTTGCTGTCTAGAAAATAGCAGGTGCGGACACACATTTCATACACAAAACAAAACTATCCATCCCCTTTTGGACCTTGGAGACAAATAGCCACATCGTGGCTAACCCATGCAAAACCGAGCGGTTGGATCTTGTCCGACTGGCCACCATGTAGGCAACCCGGTCGGCAACTGAAGGTCGCCACCAAAACGTTTTACCCCCAGGTGAGCCTGCCACAAAAATAGGCATGATGATGAAGAGAGCTGTTAAGCAGTTTGTTCCCCCTTCCCCAAATACAAGGTCAGAACCCAACAGTCGCGTGCTTTCGCATGGCTTGCAGTGCCATGGATGTGATCTGAGTATGATCGTATCTGGAGTTCTGGCAGCCCATGCGTTTCGTTCACTCGAGTCTTTCGATGCAGTGCTTCCAGGTCGCTTGCATACGGCAAATAGAAGGGCCCATTCCTCTGATACCAAGGTGGGTGATTCCCATCCCCACCAGTGCGATACTCACTTTAAAGGGGATTCTCAGATTATCCCAAGGGGAAATTGCAGGATACCCAAAACCAAAACGACCACAACCACGTTGGACAACTATGCCCGTACCCACAAAGGGAAACGTGTAGGCTGTATCGGGAAGGGGCCTCAATTGGGGCAAGGTTCCCTCTCCAATCTTAGGGTAGACAGCCGATTTTCTTGCCATGTTGAATGGACCATGAATCCCCAAAATCGGCTATCGGGCTATTGGGAAAAGGGGCTTTCGGCTACCACCTATTCAATCCTGAAAAAGGCGTTGCCTTATCCTCCCCAACCCTGGCATGACCAATCGCACGTAGACAAAGCTGCCGATTTCGACCACACATGAAGCAGCGGGGAAACATTTCGAGCAAAAGGCGCGACTCCTCAAAGCTCCGAGGCTGCCGGCCCCCAAGGAACTCACGAAGAAGAGGAAGATGTCCAAGGCCATGGAGATGACACACCTCTCTCTGAAGAAAACCAAAACCTATCCCCAACCCACCCTAAACCTGCCTTAAACCCACCCAGCTTTTCGCTCGGCACGAGCTGCAAACAAAGCGCAAGCACGTTGCTTCTGCCTTTTTTCGGCTCTTCCCGCCGGGCCTGCGGGAGAAAGGTCAAGCCATTCCGTTCCCAAAGATCCAAAAAAGCTTTGAAATGGGTGCCAGCTTTCAAAACTTTGCCATTCCGTGCCGGGCAATAGTAGAGCAATACTAAACCAGAAGAGAAACCGCCAACAGCGCCAAATCTCAGCCCTACGATCAGAACTTTCAGAACTTCGATCAGAAGGTTAGGGGAGATGACTGAAATCAGCGACCCTACCACCCCCCCTCCCTCCCCCCAAAAAAGGGTTTGGGGCTTAATAAGCCTGATTTGGAGCTTAATGAGCCTGGGCGAAGTATACTTACAAAATGAGCTGCCAAACTCATGGAGTCCATTCATGTTTTCGGGGGCTGTGGGGAGAGCAGGGTTCGAGGGTTCCTAAGGAATTGTTTAAGGGGAAGCCCACCCAAGCAGGGGAAAGGCAAACATACAACAAGCTCCAATCCCCCCAAAGCAGATTAACAGGGACCACGTCCATGAAGACGGAGCATATACGCCACTCCGCAGACCCACAAATTGAAGTTGTGGTTTCCTTTGGTTTCCCCTCCTAAGTCACCCAAAAACAAATGATGCCGAGCCTCAAAAAAGGACGCGCCAACATGGAATCGGCCAAGTTGCAAGGCCACGGATGGGTTGTCCAGCAAGGGCGCAGGCCTCACTTTGGTTCAAAGCGGGGAATTCAGTGACAGCCATCGGAATGAACAGCTGGAATCCGCAGAAAAGAACTGCCAGGGTGGTTCAGTTTGGGGTCTTTGCAACTCAAGCCACAGAAACGCCTGAGCGTATCTTTCTTGAGTGTCTAGCATTATTTTGGCCGATTTGGCCAGCTTGAGGGGGGCATCCGCTTGAAAACAAATCGTCCAGTCTCGTGTCAAGTGAAACCCAAAAAAGGCGCCCCTTCCGGATGTTGCCACCCATGTTCCGAGTCAGGGACTTACAGGCTCGCTAAAGGGCTTGCGGTGCTGGGTCTGTTTTGTGTGGGGAATCCCTCTACAAAATAGAGGGGCACACCAATGGGAAAGTGAAGATACTGACATCTCTGAACAACGTCAGTTTAAACCGCGAGTAAACTGACATCACCTTCCCCACCCCACCCCCACCCACCCAAACCTCCCCAGCCCCCGCTCGAGTGACCTGCGCGTATTTGCACTCGAAACCGCTGCCTGTACAACTCAAACACCTTGAGAGCAGCTTGATAAGAGACACGCGGGCTACGCTCTCTGGCGGGCCCGTCAAACCGAGTAAGCCGAAGAGGTGACGCCGGAACTGGAGCTTGTGGCCCTCGCTGGGGGCCTTTCTCCAAAACACAGCGACCAGGGGGCTCGACAAAGGAAACGATCTAAAATACTCAACTTGGGCAGGGCTGGGCAAAATGGGCTTCGTGCCATGATCTTTGGCTCAATCATGTTTGGGTGGTCCAAGAGTCAACAAGCGGTTAGCTTTGCCATTTAACCCTTCCTTTCAGACCCTTAGGGTTGCTAACCAGTTAGCCAAGCTCCGGACCATCTTCGTTCTGAAATGTGTTGCAAGCTGGCCCAACCCTACCTCTGACCACTGGCCTCAAAGGCTATTTTTTCGCCTGGGGCTAATCCTCGAAGACTGGATCTTGGTTCACGATCGGCAGCACGTCGACACCTGGGTCGAGCGGCGGTTATCCTGTTGACGAGGGAAAAAGCTACATCCGGGTTTGATCCGGTGAGGGGTGTCCTAGAATTCGGGGCCCCGGCCTGAGAGCAGCCTTTTGGACGAAACGAGGCCTCAGTTAGGCGACTATTATGAGTGACTTTCCTGTCCACAAGCCTGGCCAAACATCTAAGGTGGTCTTATTCGACCCGTTTGGAAGCAAGGATTCCGGTGTGCCGGCCAGCAAAACGAAACCAATACCCAACGTTCGACCCAGACATAGTAGGTATCCGTTCCCATTTTCCGTTGTGTTTGAAGCTTCGGGAACCCCTTGGGTAAACCCGACACAAGCAAAGAGAATCGCGAGGCATTGGCCACTCCAAAGACCCAGACTACAAGATTCCCCGGTTGGACACCCCAGGAACACAAGCCGATCGTCAAGCTCGGCCCAGCCCTGCTTAAGACCGCGTGGGAAGGTATCGGCCAAAGAGTCATCTGAACATGGACACCACGTGAACCTGGTAGCCGATACCCAGGTTCGGCCATGAGTTTGTTTAGGTAACAAGAAGGCAGTTTTACCTTTTCGGAATCAAAGAGCAACCTGTGGCTTTGTCTCAACATTAGGGATCCCCCCGTTTCCTTTGATTTCCCTTTGAAACCAACCAAAGGCAACCCCTAAAAAAAGAGAGGCGAAAAACACACGCCTATGTAAGAGGTGTCTTCTCCCTTGGTTTGTAGGTCGTGACCAACGTCTTTAGCCGGAGAACCGCCACGCATGGCGCTCTCCAGCCACCAGATGCCCAGCCGCATCTGGACGCCCTGGAAACGAATGACAGGATCCTATGGCCTTTCCGGGGGCTGATTCCAACCATTCTGGTCAACCGTTCCTCTGAATTGTTGAATGGTTTCCTGAAAAGGAGATCTCTGGAAGAATGGGGAAGCTTCCCCTGGACCTGCGGTCTAACCGCGGTTGGGACCTTCAAATTCCTGAGGGGGTTATGGTTCCAGAAAGATGCCTGCCTCTAAATCAGGGTGATGTGTTTTTTGACCTCGTCCTGGGCCTCCGCAAACAGGTCGGGACTTTTGAGTCAAAGCCGCAAAGAAGCAGTGGGAGAAGTTGCTTGGAAAAAGAAAAGCTCAACCCGTTTCTAAATTAAGGGGCCCAAATGTTACAACATCTGACAAACCAACGGCTGTGGGTTGTCCCCCGCCCAAACCTAGTGGAAGGGCAAACGATCAAGAATTTTGAGCCCACTGCGGAACACCACGGCCTTAAGAGACCGACAGGAAGGGGAAATTGGGCAACCATAAGCCCATGGCTTTTGGGTCAATGAAACCAAGCCGAAAGCAGTTGACCCTCCGGGCACCTTCCAAAAACCCACGGCCTTACAAGGATGTGGATTCTCTAACTCAGCCGATGGTTGGTCGATTCTGTAAGCCTGCCTTTAAGGCACCTGGTTTTTTGGAGTTCTCTTGAAAGTTCCAAGGAGACCGAACAGCTCCCAACATCCCATCCGGCAAAAACGGCCCACACCCTCTCATTCCCACCAAAAGAAACAACCCACCCCCGCAACCCACCGGGAAAAAAACAACTCCCCCTTCCCAGACCCAAAATGATCTTGCCGAGCGGAAACATCCAGGTTCGGAGCGAGGCCGCCAATCTAGGGGTTGATCCCCCATTCTTTTAAACCATCGTTCTTTTCAAAAACCGGTTATTTCCCCTGGGTGTTTGATGGTTTCCTGAAAAGAAGGATGCCTGGAAAGAATGGTTGGAAGGTACCCCCAGAACCAACCCATCAACCAACATCTAAGAAACATGTTGTTCACGGGAAGCCCGAGCGAAACCCACAGGTTTTGGGTCCCAGGCCTCCCAAAAACCGGCGCCACGCCTCGATCTGCACCACGAAGCTGCAGGTCTTGTCGCAGCGGCTCACCACCGTCCCCAGGCCCACGCCCGGCTTCCGCACCTCGCGCTGAGTCGAGAGCAGAGTCTTTGGGCGACTGTGGAGGGACAAAATCCATTTCGCACCACCTAAGACACCATGGTTGAAACCAAAACGTTTGTTGGTATTTACAGGGGAATCATCCGAAACCAGGGTCTCTAAGGTGGTGCAGGATTTCGTCCATCCACAGTAGGTCCTCCGGTGGAGAGCTTGGAAGAAGGCTACCGTTTCTTTTTTCTGTACCCTATTTTAGCAGGGGAACCCTCCTGCAACAAAGGGGTAAAAGGGCACTACTGGGGGGAGTTTTGGGCAATGTTGGCGGGACAAAATTGGGGAATCCCAAAATCGCTCGGTGAATGGAACCAAGGACGGTTGAATTTCTCTGGTGTTGGTGTTCCTCCAAAACGGCAAAAGGGGTACCCTCAAAAAAGACACCCCCATTTAGGTTGGGATCAAAAGGTCCACCAAGCACGAACCAAGCACGTAGATGCCAAGTCTCAAAATGATCCTTTGCATACGGGGTATATGCTTATTGAGGCTTGCGGGGAAAACCAAAAGGAAAACTACAGTCAATACTGTGACACATACCCAGAGTTCCCTTGTTGGTCGGCTTAAAACATCGCCTTTTTGTTTCCGTAGGGGTAATGTTGTTGAAGGGAAATATTGGGAACCCTGAAGCTCCTCTGGCCAGCGCAAGCGCCGAACTGAGCATTACTTAGCCTTGTTTGGCTTTAGCTGGCCTTGAGGCTCCAACCAACTTGTGGTCTCCTGGGATCTTGGATTGGTGGTCCGTGTCCTCACACTGCACACGACTATACCCCTTTAACGATTCTGCCCCTCTAAACCAACAACCACTCGAGTGCTCCTCCAAAGGTCGCTCCCTCAGTGTGTATTGTTGTTTTTTTCTTTTCGACAAGCTCGTGAGCCCCAACCACACACGAGGCTAACTGCTCAGGGTCAAGTGTGCATTTGCAAGATTCGGATGCTCGTTAAAACCATGCGACAAAAAGAACACTACAAAGTGGGCGCCGGCGGCCATAACCTCCCAGCCGACAACATGTCATCACTGGGTGTGCTACCATTGCGCCACGGGCCCTGCATATTTCACACCAACTATGTTCCACATCTCAAAAAAAACGAAGAAGATTTGACTACCGCTCGCCACAAAAGGCATCAAGTCAACAGCACTCGGACTCGGCCCGCCTCCCCACCGACCGTGATCGCCTTCTTGGCGCCGATGTGCATGTACCTCAATGAGAAAGGCTTGGGAGGGAGTTCCCCTCAAGTGGTCGAACAATTCACACTGTAACCAGGGTCTCTTGCCTCGTTTGCCCCGGGCTTACCCTTACCTACCATAGTGGTGGCTCACTGGATGGTGAAGCTAGGTGACCATCAGCTGGATGGCAATGTCCTTTCAGCGGATGAAGCCCAGACTTTGAGAGCTGTTTTGAGCCAAGTAGTTGACCTAAGTTATGTCGACCTATTTTACAAGTAGTTTATGACCCAGATTCTTTGCAACAATCGTAGGCTTTCTGATGCTTCTCTGGAAGGAATCTTCTAGAAATGGAGCAGGTGCCTGGCAAGAGTGGTGCTACGGAGCCCGCATGCATCCTTTTACAAAAAAGTGGGAAACCCGGTTTAATTGACCCCCTGGTTGATTAATGCTGGGGGTGTCCCATGTTAGAGGGGATCTGGATCACTTTGGGGGGAAACACCGACATGAGCATGAACTTTGATCTGTGAATTGGGGAAACTTTGCTGGACATCATGGCGCGGATTCATGTCTCACCACACATGAGGTGGTTCCGGGTTAAAGTTCACAGTATTATTCCACCAGGCTTGTTCTTCTCCGGGCTCGACATTAGTAGAATCACCTAATAAAAGGGCTAATGAGAATCGGTTTCGGAGGCTTGCCCAAACCGCGGCCCCGACCAATCCGCGAAAACAAGACCACCAACACCCAAAAACCATGGCAAGCGACTCACAACAGCAAGAAACCGCCTCCCAAACCAAGCCAAACCAAGAGCAGCTCTCTGCTTCCCTCCAATAGACGGTAGGAAGTAGTTCCCATCTCCGTGCAAGAACCGAAACGGCTTCAACGCCCCCAACGGTTTCCCAACCGAAACGGCCGGAGCCCGGAGCCCGGGGCCCGGGGCCCGGGGCCCGCGCTGCGGCTGCTTGGCCCCCTGGATGTTGTGCCCCGGCGTGATGCGAACCGCCTGGTCCCTCCGAAGGTCCAGCCACATGCGCCGCTTGCAGCGGACCCCGTCCTGCGGCTCACGGGTTGGACCCGGGGACAAAACCATCTTGCAGGCAATCCTCAGAGGAATTCACCAAATCACACCTCAACTTTGTTCTGAAAACCAATCCAAATATAATATATATATATATATATGTACACATATACGTATGCAGATATGCATACATACATATATAACTCAGGAGCCAGCAAGTCGGAAGGAGGAAACGAAAGTCCATGCAGTCGAGGTGCTGCTAGAATCGCCAGAAAGCTCAATGAGACAAAAGGAGTCTTGCAAACCGAGAAAATAGTCCGAAGTCCAGAAATTGGAAAATTTAGACCAAACCACCATGCCCGTCCCTTGGGTGTCTTTCTGGGAAACCAACATGAACCTGGGGGTGTTTGTACCTTTTGCATGCCCGTAAAACACGGCCCCTTTTTTGACACAGGGTTGGGCTCAATGTGGTGGCTGCAAAAACTCACTTCCTCAAAAGACCCAATAGGAAAAACATCTAACATCTCAAAACCTACTCACCGGCTGGGCAGCCAACTCGCTGAACAAGTTGGGGTTTACAATCAGACCCTGGCCAACTGTGAAAGGAGCAACAGTGCTGGACGCCAGCGGAGTCGTTGCCCCCCTAAAGGCCCCCATAATGCTTAAACAACTATCTTTTTGAGTGAATGGCCCAACAAAAGTCCCACCTTCTTGTTTACAAAATTGTCGGGAAGTGAGCCTAGGCCATGTTAAGACACAGCAGGCCACGTGAGGCTCAAGGCCTTTCTGGGTTGGCGAATATGGGGGTCGAACTCACGTGAAAGTGGCGCCCTCAAAGTTACCGAACGAGTCTTTTTAAGGGAAGCAGGCAAAGAAGAAGGGATACACAGGGAACCAGCAGAGCAGAAAGGCAACTGATGCTGGAGCTGGATCCTTTTGCAGGGCAAACGAAATGGGAAACACAAGGACGTGATCGATTTCACCACCCACATGGGTGCACTCTCCCGGGCGACTTTTGTCGCGATCTCATGGCGACAAAGAGTCGAGGGATCTAGAGCCTCTGCTTAACATCCAAGGACTCTGCTGGAGCGGCACGCAAATGTTTCTCATAACGCAGGACCATGCACTTCAGCCCTGTGCGACTTTGAGAGCCTCAAAACGACCGCGAGAGAGAGAGAGAGAGAGAGATGTAAATCAAAGCGGCAAAGGATTGAGCTGATGAAACTTGTGCATGCAGTTGGGAAGTGCAAAAGAATCCAAACACACTGATCCGTGCACCCATTGTTTGTTAAACAGAACTCCTCCCCCTCGGCCTTCAGAACATGGAAATGGACGGGCGGGTTTTGGAAGACCGCCATCCTCTGAAAAGCACCTTGCCCGTTCAGGTTGAATCATCCCCTTTACTGACCGAAAGGGAATTGTGCCATCTACCTTCCCGGGTTTGGGACATGGTCCTTGTGATGCCAAAGTGGGTTTCGTTCTGAAAAACAACTTCTTTCACGGGATACCCCACAGAGGCCTCCCAGAAAAATGTCCCGACCTGCCACCTGGGTATGGAAACCGCAGGTTTTTTGGTCTTTTCATGTGCTCCAAGGTGCCGTGGTTGGGCCACGAATTTGAACAAGCCGATTCGCCCGGGGATCGTCCGCACGCCTTGTCGTAGGGCACCAAGGCCCGGCTCACCGTGGGCCAGCGGATGGGCTGCACGATGCCCAGCCCATAGCCTGGGGCCGGGTGGGGGGGGGGCGGGGTGGGCGCGTTTTCCATATTTTGGGGGGGTCCCTGGCAGGTGTCGTTTCGAAAGCCCTCTTTTGCATGCCGGCCAAAACGCGGTTCAGCATTTGGAGAAACTCCAAAATCACCCTTTGGTGGTTTGGGTTGGTGTTTTGGGGCTCGAAGAGCTCGAATCTCCAGGCAAAAAGTCCAAACCACTTTTCAACCCTTGGTTGGCGGCACGGAGGGCTGGCCTGCTGGCCTGCGGAAACCACCAACCAAACTCCAAATGACCGGGCCTCAAACCACCAATGAAGTATAAGCTGAACGGACCACGCTAAAAGGGTCCATGTATCTAGTTCCAAGTCTTTGGGGGGAGAGTAGGGTCCTTGAACAAGGGGGCCTCTGGAAACCTCTTTGGCCTCGATTTCCGATGTTTCCATGGGCGTCATGTGCTCGAGTGAGACCCGAGACCCCAAGCCTTGAGGCAAATGCCATGGAGGTGGTTGGGCCCGACAGGAAGCAAGAACCAATCACCTGCCCTCACGGGCCATGAGTTCTGGACTTTGCCTCTTTGCCACGAGGCGTCCCTGAACCCGAATCCTTTCTCTGATTGGGCGCCTCGCTCCGTTGCCCTTCCCTGCTCCTTCAGTCCGGAAAGTCTTCGAGTGGCCCAGCTCCGGGAGCAGAAGCTGCAAGATGTCGTCGCTCTTCCCAAACAGCCGCAGCGTCATCCGCCCGTCCTCCGCGAGAGAAGAACCCACGGAAAGAGCTCGTAGACAATGCGTCCACGCCCCAAATCAGGGCGTCTTTATTTGTGGGCGTCGCCTTTGGTTTCTTGAAAAAGAAAATGAAAAAGAGAAGGACACCTGCCATTTTTAGGGAAGACGCTTTGCCCCAGTGGCTATGAGCCGGTGTCTGAAGAGGGCGAAACTCCAAAAACCCGCCCGGCTCTTTCTTGTACCAAGACGGTGAGCAACCTGCCATTTGCGCGGCGGGTCAATATTGATGCTCGCCACTGATATGGGAATTGGGTTGTTGTCCCCTATTTCTTGAAGGCAATTCGGTGAGTGGTGTGCAACCTTTCACTATGGCACATGCCGGTGAATTCGGGCGTATAAAAAATGGGGGTAGACAAAAATCGTGGTTGTCCCTTTGTCATTTCCTTTTCAACAACCCCCGAAAAGGGTACCCTCGACAAACCACGCACCCATTTGACCAAAATTCATCGTTCCCCTTCCACGCAACCAACGAAAAACGGGAGCACCCGCAGACTGCCTGTGCAGTCTGCTGCAGGTTCATGATCACTGTGCCCAGGCCGCCGGTGGACGGCAACCTAAGCAAATCCAACCGGATCAAACTTGGCCGGGTCTTCATGGACTTCGGGTCCGGCCACAAAGCGGGCAAAGTAGTGGGAACCCCGAGTCCGCCAGACAAAGCCGCGTTCTCCTCACGTTGGGGTGGTAAAACCTGAGGTGCTTTGCCGGACCACAACTGGTCTTATCATGGCATGGCACACTGAATGACAAAATGGAGCGCCGAAGCTCAGAAGCAAGCACCGATGGAATGTCAATGACCCCCTTTGAGTATGTGTCAGAACAGGAGCCCCCAAAAATGGTGGTTTACCCGTGAGACAGGATGCCGGTGTTTGGAGAAGGGAACCCGTTTTGCGGGGTCCGAATCCCGATTTCACCGGCCCTTTGCTCGCCAGGGCTCAACTCAATCTTTTCATCCTTGGAGAGAGTGACCTCGTCCCCCAGCCGGTCGTCTTCCTCCGGCCGGAGATCTCTGTTCGAGTCGGGAAACAGGGAACCTAGCGCTTCCATTGACTTTTTCTTCGCAGACTACCAGGGAAGCCATCATGTAAGACCTGGTGGTAAGAAATCCTGGTTACCTCCTATGGTGGTAGGTGGAAACAATGGGGTAAATAATGATAAGTATCCCAGACCCCCAAGCAGCGAGTCATCCCTCGGTGACAAGTTGTGCCAAAGTGGTTTGGCCCACAGCTGACCCCATCCCTCAATCTAGGTGACCCACGTGCAGTACCGGTTGTTCCCCTATGAATTGGGGCTCGCCCCCTGATAGCGACCCAGCACCAAAAGGACGCAAATGCAGCATGCTACATCTGATCTACCATTCCCAGACCCCAAGCATGTCCAACAATTTGAGTGGCTGGAGTCTGAAACCACTGGGTGTCTGCTTCGAATCATTTGCCTTTTCCAGGGCCAAGATACCTGAGTTCCTACTGTCCACATTCAATGGCATACCATCCTGCTCCACAGATCCCACGAGATTCGCTCGAAGCTTTGGCTTCAAAAAACAGCGCAAGCGCTGAAGAGCGCTTCTCGAGGGCCCGAGGCAAAGACAAAATGCATCAATTTGCTGTCGTGGTTCAACAAAAACACACATCCGTTGGTTCCTTTGAGGAAGGGTCCACTGGCAGATGAACATGGATCCCAAACAAGCACAACTTTTAGAGGAACCTCCCATTGGAGCACCCCCTAGCGCCCCGCCCCCCCTGCCCTTTTTGGGATTCTAGCTCAACCACTCACAGCCACAAACAAATGATGCTGAGCTACAGCTGGCTACAAGAATGGATAGATAAAAGGAAGTTAACCAGCGAAGCACAAGTCACAGTGACATAGTTCAGACATTGGTACGACACAAATCATGCCCTTAGATGCCACAGCACGTCGTTCCAAGAATTACGGAGCTGAACAAACTGGGCATCCCGAGTGGCCATGGCCAAAAGCAGGGCACTCTTGTTTGTTAGTCGGCTTTAAAGGGAGCCCTCCTCCGAAACTTGAAAAAACGGAAGCAACCCGCTGCAAATTTTCTCCGAAAGATTGAAAGGCAGCACCCCGCAGGTCTGATCTCTACGGCCTCGTCCGAGTCCTCATCCGGCGCTGCAAAGCGCGCCTTGAGCGTCTTCTCCTGCACTGAGGTCACCTGCCAGGTTTGTCTCAAAGGATATGGAAGCCCCATGGGTGGTTTCCTTGGGCCGCTGGAAAACGAATGGGCAAACTTTTGGCCTCCAAAAGCAAGAAAAAGGCCTGTCAGGTTTGGTGAGAGCCTGAAACCACTAGAACCAGTTGCTTCTTTTTGACGGCGCCCTGGTTCTAAAGGGAAACCAAACGGAAACCGAAATCCATGTCCACATTAAAAGAGTTCTGTGGGTCATAGGCATGGTGGCTCTGCCGCCAGGGACAGCCAAGCTATCGCGGAATGTTGCACTACTTTTACGTGAGAAAGTGTGCACGCTTTAGTTCAAATGGAGTAAACTCAAACTAAACCAATGCCGTCTATTTCTAACCAAACAAACCCTGGGCTGTCCTCAGATCCCCCGCTCTTAACTTTTTGTGGGTTAATCGAAATCCCCACTAAACACCAAACTGTTGTTTTCTGGCAAAAGGGCCAAAAGGCACAGTTAAGGCTGACAACCCCCACAAAACACAGAATCTTTGCCAAGGTCCCCGACACCAGCTGGGTGCGTCTGCTTTTCGGGACCCCTCCAAAATTGTGTTTTCCCTGTGGTTTCCCCTTAAACCCTCCCCCTCCCAAAAAAAACACACACAACCAAAAAAAAACGACACAGACCCAGCCACCCAGCTGGCCATCTTAGGCCAACGCCCCGCCTGGCCCCTGAAGCTCTTGCCCCCCCGCTTCAGCACGATCCGCGCCCCCGGCGCCAGGCCAGAAGCCGCCGGCGGCTGAAGGGACCGGTCCGCGGTCTTGGTGGCCACCTACCGGGGGGGGTCCCAGCGGCGCGGGTGCCCCAGCCCCCCAGATGAATGGGTCCCTTTCCCCGCCCTTCCCCCCAGATCCATTCAAAAACGACCCATAATGAAGGACTCCTCAAAGAGCCCCAAGAAAGAGCAGCAAATATCTCCGGCCAGTTTCGCGCCAGCACAAGTTTTCCCTGTTCAGGGGTCCATGACAATGCCCGCCAACCAAAGGAAAAGGATCTGTTGGGCGAGCCTCACATCAAAACGCAGGAAAACATACATAGCATCACCGCCCGTGTTTCCATAAGCATGCCACATAGAAACCATTCTCTTCTGCTCCTCTCTTTCCAATAGTCATGGAAACTGACAAAAGGGTTTTGGAAGACTGCGGTCCTCTTGAAAAAGTCTTTTGTTAACTTCCATGAAACTCTTGGTGGCTCTTGCCCCCTGTACATCAAGCTCAACTTTTAGTGGATTTCCGGGAAACAACACATTTTTCCCCAACAAGCTAAAGGTCAAAGATCCAACCAACTGGCACTCAAAATCCTTAAGCACTTGAATCTTCAAAACGCCCCAACCCTTGAAATTGCAGGGTTTGAAGGTGTAATGGTATATTCAGGGCTGGCATTGACCAAGGGCAGCCAATTGACCAAAATCCCCCCACCTGGTCGGCGTTCAAACCACCCAGGCTGGTCCCCAACACGATGCACAGGTCCGCCGTCTCAGCATCCTCGCGCATCCAGGGGTAGGAGCGGTTGTGGAGGCTCCCGCTGTACTTGACCACCTCGCAGAGCTTTCCGTCTACTCGCAGGGGTGTTCAACAAGGAATGAGAGAATGACCCCCTTGTGGTTTCCTTGACGGGAACCCCTGGGTTGATTCCTCATTCCCTACTAAGCACCAGCAAGTCTGCTCAAGCAAATGACTAGTGTATATGACACTTCCTTCTTCCCTAGGCGCCAGTTTACCAAAAGCCTGTCAGGTACCATGTTCGGAGGGTTTCTACCTACCCACAATCTGCAATGCAGTGGCGCCCCAGTTCACAGGGAGTCCCTTTGTAGCAACTGGCACTCAATTTGGACAACTTGAGTGCTGGAAACCCATCCGTGTTCGGTACCAAGATGCTTACAGCTACCTATAGAGGCCGTTCTATTATCGTCAAACCAGGTAAAGTCACCTGCTAAAACGGCCCCGGCTGGGCCCGCCTCGTTTCCATGTTTCGGCGATTAAAATGGGTCCTTGAATTGGTTGCATTGTAGGGATCCTCAAAAATATTGGTGGGGCTTGCTTCCCTTCAAGCCAACATCAAGAGGGTATATGATTCTGAGTATCTCACTTGAGTAGACCCAAATAGACTGGCGTCTCAGCTTCCCAACAACTCTGGTGGCAAAGGGAGCCTTTTCGGGCGCAGACTATGTTCCGTAGGGAACCACCAAACAAAAGGGGAAGCAAGTGCAACTGAACCACTGGGCAATCAAACCTCGAGTACTTGGTCTGGAATTTCGACCACTGTTGTTTGAAACCTTCTTTCCTGCACGGCATCTCGTTTCAGCCATTGATTCAACCACTCGGATTTAAATCCAACCTCCTTTTGCGCTCCTTTCGAGGGAAGGGTCTGGTTGTTCAATCAAAGTTTGCCCACGGACCTTCGGACACACACCGCATGGTCCTGACTGAAATGGGGTCACTTCTATGATACCAACAGCTGGCCTTCCGAATCACGAAGTTACCATTCAAAGAGGAATTTCCCTGGTACCGCAGAAGTGTCCAACTCCTGAAACCAGTTTCCTGCCAAGCTGCTGGGTTGCCCGGATCATACCAACTCCCGTGGATCTCGTTGATGCGCTCCTGGACGGCACGGAGTCTTCGGAGTGGCCGTTTCTCCCCAAGAAAACTTGCTGGTTCCAGGGTCCTGGGCATTTTCTTCACGGAAGCCACAAGGGAACTGCTCGAAAACTCATACGGTGCATCGACGGAATCCTCTGCGCACCAAGTTGGGATGTGTGACACCCTATGAATACAAGCTGATAAACCACCTACCAACTGATGACAGAATCTGTCCGTCCCCTGCAAAACTCTCACCCTCGTGAAGACCACTTTCGACTTTCCTCCTGAAGAGGCGCGTTGTCAGGAGTCATGTTCGAAGGGAACTGTTGGGGGGGAAACGTCACGTGTCCAACGAGTGAAAGGCTATTCTTGGTCAAACCAAAGAGGAACCAAGATAAGACGCACTTTGAGGAACCAAGTAGTTCCTTGGCCATTGTTAACTCATGGCTGACCCATTTTTGGGCGGCCCAAATGGACCTGACTTTAGGGCGAGCTGTTGGGTATGTGTCAAAATTCGGGGGTTCCCCCCAAAATCTAAATTTCCTTTGGTGTTCCTCTTTAACCAATGGGGCCCCGATGCATTTTCTCCGACCCCGCCGGCCGCAGATCTCTCCTGCGGGAAGCCGGCCTTCTGCGGCAGCCCGTCGTGGTTCTGTTGAACCCAGCCATGCAGCAGCCCCTGCCGGCCTTGCGCTTCGAAGCTCAGGAAGTGAAGTCCTTCCCCCACCCTCAAAGGTCGTACGTCACACAAGCCAACCAGCCACAATGGCTCAAAGGTCAGGAGTCAAAAAGTCGTGTCAAACGGTCATGTCAAACAGCCACCAGGGCTCAATGGTCATGTGGTCATGTCAAACGAAATGGGTATGTTGGCTTAATGGTTATGTCAAACCAGCCGCAACGGCTCACACCGGCCACAAGGGTTCAATGGCTATGTCAAACCCAACGGCTCACACCACCCACAAGGGTTGAATGGGTATGTCAAACCAGCCGCAACGGCTCACACCAATGGTTGTGCCAAACTGGCCACAACGGCTCACACCAGCCACAGCTCAACGATTATGCCAGCCAGCCACAACGACTCAGCCACAAGGGCTCTCCATGGTTATGCCAACCAGCCACAAGGGCTCCAGGGATATGTCAAAGCAGCCACAACGGCTTAGCCACAAGGGCTCAATGGTTATGTTAAACCAGCCGGTTTTGCCAACCAGCCACAACGGCTCAGCCACAAGGGCTCGTTATGTCAAACCAGCCACAACGGCTCAGCGGTTATGTCAAACCAGCCACAACGGCTCAGCCACAACGGCTCAGCCACAAGGGCTCGTTATGTCAAACCAGCCACAACGGCTCAGCCACAAGAGCGGGGTTATGTCAAACCAGCCACAACGGCTCAGCCACAAGGGCTCGTTATGTCAAACCAGCCACAACGGCTCAGCCACAACAGCCACAACGGCTCAGCCACAAGGGTTATGTCAAACCAGGCTATGTCAAACCAGCCACAACGGTTCAGCCACAACGGCTCGTTATGTCAAACCAGCCACAACGGCCCGGCTCGCTATGTCAAACCAGCCACAACGGCTCAGCCACAAGGGCTCGTTATGTCAAACCAGCCACAACGGCTCAGCCACAAGGGCTCGGTGTGTCAAACCAGCCACAACGGCTCAGCCACAAGGGCTCCCGGGTTATGTCAAACCAGCCACAACGGCTCAGCCACAACGGCTCAGCCACAAGGGCTCGTTATGTCAAACCAGCCACACGGCTCAGCCACAAGGGCTCGTGTATGTCAAACCAGCCACAACGGCTCCAGCCACAAGGGCTCGTTATGTCAAACCAGCCACAACGGCTCAGCCACAAGGGCTCGTTATGTCAAACCAGCCACAACGGCTCAGCCACAAGTCAAACCAGCCACAACGGCTCAGCCACAAGGGCTCGTTATGTCAAACCAGCCACAACGGCTCAGCCACAAGGGCTCGTTATGTCAAACCAGCCACAAGGGCTCGTTATGTCAAACCACGCCCACAACGGCTCAGCCACAAGGGCTCCCGTGTTATGTCAAACCAGCGACAACGGCTCAGCCACAAAGGGCTCGTTATGTCAAACCAGCCACAACGGCTCAGCCACAAGGGCTCGTTGTGCCAAACCAGCCACAACGGCTCAGCCACAAGGGCTC